TTTAGAGAAATTTTTACATATCTTGAGCCATAAAGTCACTTCTTACTGATTTTATACGAAATTCATTACACCAGGAGAGAAATCTACCTCCTTACAGCTGAGTAAATAATTAGTTATCCCAGCAGGAGTTACAAGGATAACAAGATCCTAACGCCAGATAGAATCTTTCGAAATAATCATCAATGGGTTACAATGTGAAATCCTTACACTTTTTTGCGACTATATAAAATCCTACAGTTGAAAATTTAAAGAGGCGTTATTACCACAACCAAACCGTTCAACTCAACAGAAGACCAATATATAAAACGATTGCTATTAATTTTGGTTTTGTATATTGCAATCATGTATTATTAGAAAGGAGAATTATGATTTAGAGCTTGTATAATAAATCAAATCTTTTACATACGCTGTGGCCTACTACCTGTCATAAAGGTTAAAAGGCAATCTATCAAGAAAACAATCTTATGATGCAACGACGCCCTCGCGGGCGCTTTTTGAGTATTAAAGCGAATCAATTACTACAATAAAACCGACATGAAGAAAATGACGTTACTTTGCATGATTTTCGAATTCCAATTTGAAATAGACAATATAATCAGCTCCCTGTCACATTTTTTAAACTTCACGTACGTGCAGGTTATTAATGAGACAAACGCTTTTAAGCTCTATTAATTATCGGAAATGAAGTGGGATAAATTAGGTGTGTTTTACCACATGCCGAGTGTTTAATTTTTTAATTTACAAAATAAATTAGATTTGGATCCCCTTTTCGCTTGAAATAGTTGCGTTATTAAATAGACAGAAATCTAGAAGCTCGCGTCGTGGTGATCGGGAATCATTATAAATAAATTGCCGTAATCATAATATAAGACGCCGTATTACACAACTACTGAAAACAAGTTTAATTTACATCTATAATTGGTTTCATATATTATCAAGTTTCATTTGGTATAATTACATGTGAAGCAAAACTGTTAACTTACTCATTTAGCAATTTTTCTTATTCCAAGAGTAAAGTTAACGATCCCCAGGTATCGTCAGTGATTTTTTAGCCCCCTATTGCGTTGGCTGGCCTAACAAGACTGTGATTAATTTCTAAGCATTCCGTTGGACCGCTAAACACATATCATCACTTCTTAAACCACAAAAAAAAGTTTAACTTAGGTAATTGTATAAAAAAGAAAAACAAATTAATTTTAATGTTTTTCTATAAATTTCAAGCAGGCGTGTTTTTATCGGACATATAATTACATTATTTGTTGCGTGCACAATACGTTGCAATGGCCAATGAGAGCTTTTTAACCTCGTTATTTTTAAAATTTCTGTATGTTCGTATGTGTGTGTGTGTGTGTGCGCGCGTGGCATAATTCTTGTAAACATAATAAGGTTCAGTCGAAACTACCCCTGAAACTACCTGACCGATTTGGTTGAAAATATAGGTTCGGTTTAATGATCTCGAGAGCTGAAAAGCTTTGGAAGGGATTCGAAAATGGCAAATGCCTTTTTGGCAATAACATCTATACAGAGTGTCTTTATAAATTGAGTAGGATAACATGGCTATCTTTGGTATTATTATACTTACAGATTCGGTTTGGCAAAGTTGTGTAATTTTTGATGCTGATGGATATTCGGATGAGATATTTTGAAAAGTAGAATCCGTTTCGTAGATAATTGAAAAAAATAGAAAATATTTTAGTAACAAAGAAAGCTATTAAAAAAAGTCTCAAGATTCGATGGGACAAATTCAATGGACGTAGAAAAACAAATTTCGAAATGACGGTTTTAGATATATTGACATATCGACTTCCTTATTTTGAATGGACGCCATAGTGGATTTTTACGTCACTCGATAGAGAAACAAGTGGCAAAATCAATGACGAAGAGTTTTGAATGGAAGTATTGTCGAAGGACTTATGATGATGATAATCAAGACGTTAACATAAACCACCCACAGGAGTATCCCAAGACAATATAATATAATCGCGTGGTTCAAGCGTCATTTCAGAACGTTGTGGATTAGGTCTATCGGGGATATCGCAACCAAGAAAACGTCCCGCGTTCTGTATCTCAAGGTGATGTGGAAATGAGTCCGCTGTTATTTTGATAAACCCGATTTTTTCTACCTTTCATTCAAGATGGCGGCGAGATCCCCCCTCCCCCAACGGTCAATAACATGGATTTTGTATCAAGGCCCACACCTCAACAACATATACTAAACAATTACTACTACACCGCCTTTTATAGGGCAAAATCACTTTGTTATTACCATTAATTAATTAGAAATCACCAAATTTCAAGATCTCAAAGTTCGCGTTGTGTACCTACGCTGCGTCATCCCATGCGATTCATTGAGAATCCATTGACTTTAAAAATTTGAAAATAACAAGTTTTTTATAAACTAGCCCTATAATAAATGGAACTATCCTATATACTTTATAAATTTATAATACCACCCTAACAAAGTTCAATTTCTTTTATTTAAAAAAAAAACCTCCTAAAAAAAATAATTTGGTAACATTGACAAAAAACAAAAAGTAATTAGATTTTCCTGCAGAGGTTAAATAAAAAATAATATTGAAACAACTAAAAATATACATGGTGTTCTATTTAAAAAAATCAGTTGTATATTGACACCGTAAAAATGGGACACCACCCTCATTCAAAAATAATTTCTGTAGATGTGTAACCATCTACAGTTGACATTTGCACAAAACGTTTTTTGATA